GCCAGGGCCATTATTTTTTTATTTAGTTTTTTTTCATATTTTTGAAACAGCTGTTCCTATAATTATCGAAAGGGGTAGAATCTGTTTGACATTTTCTCAGGGATACCAGGATATTATAAAAGCAAAGAGTTTGAAGCTAAGGCAGTTGACTGATGATATTGAAAGACCTCGTCTTGAAAGAATCAGTAAAAAACATTACAAAGGGAAGGGTCGTAACGGTAGTACGAATAAAGTAAGGGTGTAGAATAAGTATTTACAAAAAACTTTTGGCTTGGACCTTTGTTGTGATCGTAGTAAAAGTAAAATAAAGACTAGTACCTATTTATCGAATTAATTTAAATATTTTTATGTTTTTTATAAAAATCACTAAGTACTCTTGGAAAGGTTTTTTTATATTAGTTTAGTAGACCTCTCGAATAAATCTACTTCGTTGTTCGTAATATTTAGGGAGCCTTCACCCTGCGCGGCTATCCATCTTAATGGGTGGCATTTGTAATCACTAGCCTAGGTCGTAAACAATACAAATTTCCGAAGAAAGTAAAGATCCCTTGATTACATTATTTTAACACTTTCGGGCAATTTCTCTTTTTCAAGTAATTAAGCGTCGGTCTGTCACTAGGATACCAGACCAAGAGAAGACGTATTGGTTACAATGGGAACAACACCTAGTAATTAAGGCTAGACTTATTCATACTAATCTTAGATGAATCTAGGTTGCATAAGTGATAAGTATTTTGATAAGTCAATTTACTCCTTGTTTTAATAATGATATAACTACGAGTATGCCTGTCTCGTATACGTCCAAGCAAAGAGAAAGGCACGTGCGCATGCGTCGTTTACTAATGCGTATGACGAAATGTCACGTCTCGATCTAGTTTATATCGCCTTGAGTGTAACTTGTATTGAGTGCTGGACAATACACAAGTCTAAATTGGAAGAAGTTATCAACTGGGGGCGTAGCTCAGATGGTAGAGCGCTCGCTTAGCATGCGAGAGGTACCGGGATCGATACCCGGCGCCTCCAAGTCTTATTTTTTGCAATTTATTTTTAGGTTTTCTATATTTTTGTGTAAATTGGGAAAGTAAACATTATAATAAAAAATATGTTAGTGGACATAAAGAAAAACTTATGTTTTTCTTTTACAATGTTCAAGTTTTATATTGAACAAATTATAATTTTCTTATTTATCAGTGTAGTTGTTCCCTTCTTTGTCATATATTTTCTTTGAGTGTCTGTTGCACTCAACACCCGCTATTGCAAGAATCGAACTCGAGACTCTTTTCGAGTTCGATTTTCGGTATAGAATTATTGGTTCTCTCAGTACTCACTGTATATGTGTTTCAAGGCTAAAAAAGCGTATAATGTCATTGTATTTCTTTGAACTAAAATTATAATATAAGTTCTAATAAACTTTGAATAACTGCGGTAGTATCTACCCGGAGCCCAGCTTCGAAAAGATCAGTGGAGCACCGAATAATAGCTTACTTCCGACAGAATACTTAGGACCTCACCAGACGCGGTACGATAGTGCTGTCAGAGCATCATTTTTAAAATTGAACAGAAAATAAATGGTGTTGTTTTTAATGAAAGACTTGAAGGGCTTACTTGTAATGTTCTAGAATAAAGAAGAGTAGAAAAAATATTTGGTACTGAGTTATCTAAATGTTTAATATAAACTCGTAAACACCATCACTTGTGTTCTTAATATTCAACAATTTCCCCAAATACATATCAGTTTATTATTATACTGACCATTTCAATTCCTAACATAGCTATTGTTCATTTATTATCAATAGAGCTGTATGAAATTATACTACATGAATACATTTTACGTTATTATTGTTCGTGCGTTTTCAGGTTTATTAAAATGACCTATTTGGCGAAATACCTGAATTAAATTGGTTGAACACAAGTATTTAATTAAGTACAAAAGCTCCATTATAATCAGTATTTGCAAAGCCAGGGTTGGCCGGGCGGTGGCGCGGCTACCAGGTGGCCAGCAAATTAATAGAGGTGCATTTTGATGTTTATTGTAAAGCTCGCGGCTTAAACAACCCGTGCATTTGAGAGCATTCCACGGGCTCGTATTGAGCCGCTAAGTCTAGTGGTTGATGCCATACTTACTAGGAATATCTTTTATGTATTTGTGCATATTTATTATGTAGTCGTCAATTCATTGCGTGTTACTGTACTGTTGGGTGGGTATATATCAATTTGTGTTAGTTACTCGTTATCATCATATCATGTATCAGGTTAATTAACCTCATTCAGTAACCTGATATCGATATTATTAAAGTTTAGAACGATATCAGATGTTGCACATCTGAGTTGTTCCACATCTGATATAGCATGACATATGCATGTTAACAGTCAAATCACAAGCAACGCTCCAAATCGAAATAATTCTTAAGGAGATATAAGTTACCCGCCTGTTTTTAATATATTTCTAAAGTCTGCTATAAACGACGTCGAAGTCAAGCCCTACTAAGCAATAAACTAAACGTTAGGTCATAAAAATAATATGAACATGACTTTTCACCGAGAATTGGTGTGAAAAATCTCCATTAATATTTCCCAAGCATAATCGCGAAAAGCATTTTAATATCCCGAGGATGGCATTAACCGGGGCGCCGGCGTAGCACCGGGACGGCGGGGCGTCGGGAAGCGCGAATCCCGGACTGTGCCGGAATTACGCCGGGATTAGCCACCGACGCGTTGCCCGGGATTAACCCGAGAACAATGCGCCGGCCATTACGTGACAGATGGACTTTCCGCATTGTTGTTTTGTTAGGTGATTTTTTAAGCCCATGCGACTTACCTGACTGATGGAAGCTGAATTCAAAGGGAGACTGATTGATACCAAGCACGCACGAGCCCGACACGTTCGAGAGACAGCGTATCGTGAAAAATTTCCTACATATTTATAAACATATCTGCATATACACATGAACGTAACGAAATAAGTAGGAACGTATTTATATTACATGTAAGTATATCTCAGTTGGTAATGTACCTCATTAATGAGTAGGTACGTAATTATCTTTCAAATTGCAGCAGGTAATTATGCTTAGTCCGCAGTACACAGCAAGCAACAAAAGGTGAATACGTCTCTCCCAGCCGTTGCAGCGCTGCGGATTTTCAAGCAGAATAATTTGCATGATTGCCACCAGCCTCTGCTGGGAGATGAGATGCCCTAAATGATTTTAAATAAATGTCATGCACCACACCTTAAATGGAATGAAGGTCCCTGGTGGAATATGTCAAGAGGCGTAATGAACAGACGAATATTAAAAGATCCTTCTGAATATATTTTTTACTTATATGAAAACCGAGTGGGCGGGCTTCGAAATGACTAGTAATTTTTCAACTCCAAATTAAGCGTTCGACGACAAATTCTGAACAAGAATTTATTCAGAATTAAAACTCAATTCTGTGTAGTAGAGTTGTTTCATAAAGTAATCCGAATAATTCAAATAGCTGATCAAATATTGATTCGAACAGTCCCGAACAATTGCGTAACTACGAAGATATTTAGCGGTAAGCTATTTATTTATTAAACAGGCAGCCGATTGAAACTTAAGTGAGCGCTCAAGGGACTGCGGTTTAGTCAATTTCCTAACAATTAATATTTAATTCTTCTCGGTATACTCCCCTTGAATACACAGATAATAGCTACCTATCACCTCTCGTGGGTGTTGTTAAAGGATTGTGGAATAATGTACATACATGTATGTATGTACTGTATGGTCACCCACCAGGCTCCCATGACGTGAATAGATACATTCCGATTGTTGTCGCGTGAATTGTTCGAATGGTGTAAGCAATTTTATTTATTTTGTTCTTCAATTCTTATAAATTGCTTACGAGATATATTTTCTATAACGAGTAATAAAAGTGTGGCTACAGCACATTTTGAGCCCAATTAGATAAATGATTTCGTTTGTTTTATTAAGTTAATGGCCCGTACACCAATGGGCAATAAATTGGTCTGAAAAGTTGCTTTTTATCGCAAACAAATCATTTGTGGCGCTATAAAGTAATGTTTATAAGGCAATATTTTATGTTGCGGTGGCGTATCTAACAAATGTGTACGTTTTTATTAAAACCTCTGCTGTCTGAGAGGGAATAAAGTTTTATTTTCTATGAACCTCTAGGCCACAGTGAGGCGTCGTAGAAACATGAGCTACCTAGTTCTAAGCTTCTTTCTATTGTGTTTATCGTTTGTTATAACACTACGTATTACAGGTAATTGAATACATTTATGAATTGTATCTACCTAAGGCTGTTGAAAGATTAAGACGTTAACTTTCTATAAAACTAACGTATCTGTATCAAAATCAACATAATTAATACACCAATTAATGACACCGACCAGACCGACTTGTTGAAAACTACCCGTCATACTCAAATTGAGACTAGCCACTGAAGTGAACGACCAAATTAGGATCGAACTAGCTGAGCTGAGCTGAGCTTCACTGCAGGCTTAATCTTAATTAGTGATTCATACACACACAAACACATCGATACCTATGTATTGTGTGTTATTTGTGTTTACTGAACTTGTGTGTGTGTATTGCATTGTTTCGGTTGGTCTCGCGTGAATTTATAATTTGTATTAATTAATTACTGGATGTTTCAATTAGTCTGTATATTTTACAAAGAGCTGTGTGTGACACTGTAATTAAATAGCTCATTAAATTATTGCTACTGATATTTGTTTGGCTTTGAAAAACGGACTCTGTTAGTTTGGTACGAGGATAATTTGGGGAATAAAGAGAGAACGTTATTTTTTAATATGACAAAGATAAATAATGTAAAGCTCAGACATGCTAGAACTTTACTGAAGTCATTTCTATTTAAACAATTTCTTAATTTGAACAGCCGGGATAGCTAATATCGTCACTGAAATCTTTAAGAAACTATCAAATACTTGTCATCATACATTGATGTGCTTACATGGATTTAATTGACTTTAACGATTCTTTCTTCCTTTGCTGCAGACCTTCTCATCGAGATGCTGGGCGTGCTGGCCAGCTACAGTGTCACAGTCAAAGAGCTCAAACAGCTGTTTAGTGCCATGAAAGCGGTCAACGGAAAATGGGTAAGCATAGCCTTAATATTCTTAAATTAGAATACAATTATAACTCCGGCGAACTCTACGAAATTCCGTTGCTCTAAATAAATCTAAAAAATAACTTGCTAAATATTTTTTTACGTTCGTTGTTAATCTGTCACGTTCACATAATCGTCACGTATTTTTGTATTTCATACATCACGTTTACTAGGCGTGTGTAACTTTATATTCGTTTCGGAGCAAAGAGGGCGCACAACATAAGTGATAGTTTCCGGGCATCAGCGGCTCGAGTGTGCTCGGCCGGCCACTCGAGACGACCGCCTTCTCAACACTACCACACAGAAACATAGACTTTTATTGCTTTTCAAACTTACTTCTAGAGTTCTTCGCTACAAAGTCAAGTTCTTTCTTCTTCAAAAGTTAATTGAGGAACTTTGGGTCCAGTTAATGAGGAAAACGAGATAGATGGGTTTAGATACATAGCTATACAAAACTAAACCCTCCTTATGTATGTGACAACAATATAAATACCTGACCAGCAACAATTCACAGCAAAATATTCGCAACTTTGAACTTTTATTTTGAACAACCAATTTATTGCTCCACAAAACAACATTCCTATCTCTGTTGACATTTAAAAATGTCATTACAAAGTTCCACTCCGAACTGAAAGCGTTCCTGACGCAAATTCCCGGCTACCGCCCCCGCAAAAACGGTCTAATTCGACCAGGGCAACATAAACTAGAGGGATACGAGAAGAACACGGACAAATGGGGAAGGCTACGGCCAAACGTGCAATTAGCCGCACCGCCAATGCTTTTGAAATTTGCATCGTTTTACAGACAGTGCGGTGAAACGGTAATTAGCCGGCACAGGCGGCACTCTTACTTTGTGTTTATGTTTGCCTGTGAATGAGAATCGCTTGTCCTTTTTAGCTCCTATTTAATCTATTCCTAAGTAGGGTTTTGGGTTTTAGTAAAAGCAAGTCATTAGCAAGGAACAAGTCAAGATTAAAATATTTTTTGCGAGATAAAGACTGTCTGGCAGCTTTATAAATTTTTCCTTTTATTTTTGCGTTAGCAAGGTTTCCTTTATCGGCCGCCATTACTGCCAATATCGAGAGGGTTTATGTCGTAGTATTTTAAAACTTTCAACTTGGAAGAGATTTTTTCTTTGTTATTATCCTTGTTTGAAAATGTGGCTAAAAGGCTTTAATAAAAATATCTTGCTTTAATAAAAGGCGAATGAAATTGGATAGAAATAGGCGCTTATACAATATTATTTTAAAAAGGACCGAACCTTTCAGGCGTTCTATATTATACACCGTATTGTTTTGTTTTCAACCTGTGTAATATTATGAACGGAACATAATATTACGTATTTTATTCTCCGAACTCGAAGGTGGAAGAGTGCTTATGGTGCGACCATTTTTCATCAGTTAGGTATGTTGTTACTTGTTAGTCAGTTTATCGTAAGCTAGCAATGGAGACATTTGAAGACCCGTTCTTAGAATAAAAAATTCAAGAATGAGAAATATGGCTATTGGAATCTCACTCAAAATCTTTCATTCACCCTACTACTTGCTACGACTGTCATATTCGATATTTAAATAATCTTTGTGTGTTACAGCCGAGGCATTCTGCGAAGCTACTGAACGTGCTCCGGCAGATGCCGCACCGGAACGGGCCGGACGTGTTCTTCAGCTTCCCCGGACGGAAAGGATCGGTACGTTCACATTGTTATTTATAATAGAATCGCCCGTCGCACGGGGAATATGTGAGTCAACTTATTGAAAGTGACCAGGAGCGCTCGCCTATAAGGATCGCATAAAATCGAAGAAGTTTATACTGTACCGACTACCTGTGGGATTACGGGGCTTATTATTACGGTCCTACCCGTTTCAAAGTCTTGTTAGTGTACACCAATTGGAAAGTCGCGTCGCTCAACATAGTAGGTATACAAATACATTGTTGTGAACCTTTTTTTTAATGAACCCTTCGCGTAGAGCAATGGCCGCCAAACAAATTAAATAGAATCAATATTGACTCGCAGAAATAACTGCTCAATAAGTGAAGTGTCATTTACGGAATTAACCCGGAACTGTATTTTTGTGGATGTATCGGAGCGTGTAAATCTGCATCCAATTAAAACAATCTCGATATGGTAATTGGAGGCTGCGCTGATGGTAATTTGCACACCAGTTATTTACACAACTTTATTCATTACTGCTGCTCTTTGTATTGTTTAAATATTTCGAGTTTACATTCCAAATTGTACTGGATAGTTTTAAATGTAAAATAGGAAAAAGTGAAATAAAAGGTTTGGAGGCGCCGGGTATCGATCCCGGTACCTCTCGCATGCTAAGCGAGCGCTCTACCATCTGAGCTACGCCCCCTGATATTAAAGACATCGAAATAAACGTTTGCATTAAGTCGAGTACAAGCAACATTGTCTTGATATAAAAAAAATCCTTTCACTTGCGCTCTGGCCCCGTCAGCATTCATTGCCATACGTAAGTACGTAATAGTTATATAATGACTGTATTAAGTTAACAAGTTGACAGCTGCAAAAAACGTTTTTGCTATTAGAATACACTAAACACTGGTCTACCAGCAATTACAGATCCAGTTTCCATAAATACAACTTTTTAAAATGTTTTCTTAACAATTCATTTAGGACGTTAGCTATTCGATTTTCTGTCATTTTTAGTGTAGGTTTTACTTAGAATAGTAAATTGAGGTGTTCTGGATAACGACCCAACGTACGATCTAAACTCAGACTAACTTTCCATTCAGACCACAACACGAGTTTAAGGGTCACATGGTTTGTACATGTTTGTGTCAGAAATAATATTTCATTGGGAGAAATGGCATTGTGTAGTCTCATTGCAGATTGTACCTACAATCGCGATCGGCATCGTACATTCATACTATATTTTTGCTTCACTTGAAGTGAACACAACTGTGGGGGTTAGAAAATGTGCTGTTGTAGCAAGTATAAGTAAACGAGTGTGTACAAAGAACAGGATTTCTTTCATGTAATAACAAGCGGGTGACTTACCAACCCAAAAACACTGACCGGAACATGTTCCAATTTCATAAGTCGCCGTGTGCGGCAGCCGGCAGCCGGCCACCTGACCAGCCGGCGCGGCGCCCGGCACAGAACCTACAATATATTTCAAACGAAATGGAGAGAAACAGCCCGCTATTACCAACCGCTTTTATTTATAAACAGACCTCATATTTCAAAGGACCTTTCCCAGCTGCGGCCTGCTCCACACCCTGATTTGTCCATTATTCCACGCTGTGCAAAATGTTTTTGACGGGATCCTCTATCTCATCTCATCCGCCCGCCACACTCCGCACCTACTTTATCTCCGTATTTTTTCGATTCGCAACGAGAGTAAATGAAACAAACTCGACCTTCGCCCCGTATAATTATTTAAACAACAGCCTCAGAGATTTTTAAAGAGCATTAATGAAATCATCTCGGTAATGGAGAAGCCTCCGAGCGGCATTCTGAACACAGGAAAAATTGTATTGTGTAAGAATTTCCTCGGAGATTTTTAACTAATTTCAACTTCCTTACCATAAATTTCTGGAAATAAAGCCATAATTGTACTCGGTCTGAAGAAATACCCTTCAAAGTGAAAGTAACTTTATCATTTTTGCTGTAACCTGATATTTCTGATATTTGCTTAGATGACGCTCCGGTGGAAATAAGAGCCCATATATTTCGACCCCTTTTATCTTGTGAATTAAAATAACAGAGAACTCTTTCACATGCGGATGCGAACTAACTTCTTGCGTATCTACTGAATACGTAACTTGGATCCTTTTACAGCTATTTTAATTCAGAACCAAAAAGCTGTAAGGTTCGAAAAGTGTGTTATTTATTGCAGAAAAAGAAAAACAATTTCTTTTTCTGCTTAACGTTGATGGTGCCACACATTCGGCCCAAGCCATAAACAAATCATCACTCCAGTCGTCTAGCACTGCTGAGAACCTCAACGCTTAAACAGATCGATATTAGGGTAGTAGGACACTTTAGGAGCGCAGTTTAACCATCCCCCTCCCTCCTTATTGGCAATTCTTATTCAAATACGGGCCGCCGGCGTAATCCGCGTGACATACTGGGCTATCTGTGTGTCCGTTTTTTCCTTATTTATCGCTGTCCCGCCCGGGGCCGGTCCATTTCTCTCTGTCGTACTTATCCGGAGATCTGACGGCGAACTGACGCTTCTTAGCCGCTTCTGCTTGCCTGGTAGGTTAATACTAGATAAATATGTGTTATGCGTGATTTATGTTTGACAATAAATAAAAAAAAACTCGTGTGTTGTTGTGCGAATACGTTGAATGCGCTCTAGCTGGGAAATGAGAAAATAACTGTAATAGCTATGTATGTACTTCGTATTTTATATTTAACCACGAACTGAAATGAAATGAAATTTATTTCTACTCAGACTGAAGAAAATACGACTGACAAAAAGTACAAAGCTCCCGAGAGCGGAGGGCAAGCGCAACAAATACAAGCTACAAGCTACATTGCCTCCTGAGCGCTCGCGAAGCCGCTTAAAACCTAAGGAAACATTTCCAGCCGCTGGAAAATAGTTTTCTTGAAGCAAGGTTTCTTAGGTTAAACCGTCGACGAGGCGAAACGAAATGATTTCATTTATATTGTGAACCACTGACACGCATAAATATGTAAGTTGTATGAATTTATTCAGAAAGCGCGATATATTTACATTTTATTAGCACCTCAACCGGTGCTTTACATGTTTTGTGAAGGTGCGAGCTTCTTATTATAGAGCTGCGGATTATTTTATAGGATGGCCTCAGTGTTGTTGTTCAATAAAATGTTTGTTTATCGAAGCAGAGCAAGTTATTTGCATTGAATTCAACAGCAAATTGTATTGTTTTCAAACAAACATTTCACATGGAAATTACGTAGGCAGAGTACTCACAAAGTTTGTTAATTCTGTAGTACTGTAGGAGTAACTCATAAATACATACAAATCCTCTTATGAGTTGGAGATGGAACCATTCAATTAGAGGAACAATGTAACGACGAACTTGACTGATGTTTTGACTTTGAGGCATTTACTTTATTAAAGCGAACATAAGCACACCGACATCAATCTTCACTGCAACCTTTGTCAATACAATATGTTGCCATTTTTTACTCAGACATGATGAATAGGAACAAATTTATCTTTAATAAATAAATACGCGTTAAAAATGAATGTAACATTTACTTACCAGCCGAGCGTGCTCAAGTAATGTCGTTATAGGAAAAATAATGTGTTCAACTTTGTCGCCTATGAAATCCTGGTAATGATTAAATTATGTTCTGGGAAAATATTTGTTATCTACTTTCATATTCTGCATTAAATTTGTACTCAATATTATGTGTTTAATTGTTATTGTATTAATTTGTCTTTGTTGCAAGCTTATCACACCTATTAGCAGAACAACACTTTGTTTTAGTTATATTTAGAAACAACAAGAAAATTAAAACAACTGTAATATAAAAATACTTTTTAATTACTAAGGCAGTGTTTTGATATTTAAAATTACAATTTGAACTTCTTTCTTAATTAACTGTTATTCATAATTGGTGACCTACGAATAGTTTTAGTCTTAATTGAATTATTAAAATTATAAAATATATTCATCGTCCTGCTGTCTTCGTGGACTGGCTGGTATTTCTGTCGTGATGTTATCTATCAACAGCAGGACCCGTCTTTTGAAGTGTTTGAACTGCTGTGAGCTCATTTCATGAAGTTCTGGTAGGAGGCTATTGAGGAATGACTTCACATGATCACTGTCTAGTGCCGCGTTGGATGACGGCTGTAGCTTGGGCGTCTTGCTGGTCTGTGGAGGTCTATCGTCCTGTAGCGACCGTTTCCTTGCCTGAGGGGGGGAGCCTTCCCTCTCCTCCTCAACAGAGGACGGGCCGTATTCATCAGAATCCTCCTCTTGTTCCACCTTTTCCACTTTAATATGTTCTATTTCTACCTCAATAGGCTGGTTGTCTTCATCTTTAGGATCTGGTGGTTGATTCTTCTTTTGTTTATCTTTAGCCGCTTCTGCCATAGCGATCGGTCTCATGAAAGGTACGACAAATTGCATCACATCGGCTAAGTAATAAGGTTTCTTTTTCCCTGTGACCCTCGGCGGCGGTGCTTTCATAGTCCTCATGAAGACAGCTCTCAGGTTCCGCCATCTTTCTCGGCAGGCTGACGCTGGAAATAGAAGGTATTTTGTACTGTAATGTTGTGGTTTACAATTCAAATTTAATGTTTTGTAATTGTGTCAAATCTGTTGAAGAAAGACTGTACTAGTCGAAAATCTGTTGGATTAGTTGCATATCAGTTTGGTTTAGATTTTATACAATTTCCATAATGATTGTTTTCATATCATATCAACCACTTGTTATTATTTTGATATACATAAGTATTTCAATTATGTTATGTTATAAGTAATTCAACTAATATCAGGTACAAAAATAAATACCATTTTAAGTATAAATAATGAAATTGTATCGTCTGTCCATGTGCTTTGGTATTCTACATCAGTAACATTTCATGTTGTTATTATATTAATACATATTTCGTATGTAAATATAATCAATGTTTATAATTCCTTAACAACAAACATGTAAAGATAAATAAACTGATAGGTGAAGTTTTGATATGATTAGGTCTGTGGCCGAAGCAGTTCAATGTCACAACACACAGACACACAAACATACAATGCATAGTGTACGCAATGCCCGCACCTGTCGGGCTGCGCACGCGCTGACTCAGTCATGGCACGCGGTGACAACGCAACCTATCCATATCATTGTGAACTAACCACACATTACATCGTGGTATAATCATATTGTTCAAGATAACATACAAAATGTAAATAAATAATCGTTTGTTTATTTATTTAAATGTCCGTAACGATTATCAGACTATATTTGAAAAAAAAAAATACCACGTTAGTAACACACTGCCGTCAAACACATAACCTACAATCGTAAACGAATGTATTCACAGCATGTTCCAAGAGAAACGCTCAACAACAAAGTTATGCAAAGGGACACATTCTATTACAAAAGAAAATTCTCTGTTAATATCATTCATATTTGCGAAGAAATATGTCCATAAATATTGACATAACCACACAACCCGCTGAAGGGATGCGCGGGGTGTGGTGCGGGATGCGGGGATACGCTTGCCCCACAAACATTGCCGCGTTGCCCTTAGTACAAATACAAATGGTCTTACGTGTCATATTCATGGTCTTGCCCACTTCTTTCCAAGCTTCGTCGCTGACATCCCTCCGAGAGTATGAAGGCAACTCGAAGTTGTACAGTATCGGATATTTCTGTACTTCTTTCACGAATTTGATATTGATTTGTTGCTCACTCATAATATCGCGCGACATGATGATCGCAGACCAGTACGCGACTCACGGACGACCTGTGCGGTGCGGCGGGCCCCGCGCTACTGATTTCGAACCGGTCTGTGACGCACATCGAACCAGTCGCGCGGCTGCGTGTGCCGCTAGTTGGCGGCGCGTCGCTACCTCGCCTCGCACACACACACCCAACATCACAGACACGTTGCCATTGTGTGCGTGCACGACTGACTCGACGAGCAAATCAGATGACTGCCCGCATCCGGTGGGGATCCCAGCTACTATTTAGAAATCCAGTTAACGATTTGCGAACCATTCATAGAAAGATTAGTTCGTACTTACCTTCTATTCAACGCAATATGTCGAGTCAGGCAATGTTCATATTACTTGTAATTAAGTAGCTACTTATTTCACAATAACTAGGGAAGGCTGCTCGCAGTAATCTAGCTGAGCTAGTAAGACTTAGTGACTTTAATCAGCGTCGTATGAGCCCATTTATTTGTCGGTATCAGCCGCCTGCTAGCTTATTGCCACTAAAGATCCGAGCCTCATGTGTTCTACGTCCTACTTTTATCCTGGTCGGTAAATCTTCTCGACTAAGTCCTAATAAGATGTCGTGATACTAATCTCTGCGAATAAATAATATTGTAATTCGCAAGAAAGGTGAAGAGAGTTATTTGTTTAGTTGAAGAACATAATATTGCGTATTACATTGGAATATAACACGGAATGGAAGATTGGGGAGACGATAAAAGTATGTATATTTTATTGAGGCGATATCTCGATAGGATCCTTTACAAGGAATCTCCGTGTTGGCCATCCATCCGAGCATAAAATAAGTTTTTACTGCCGCACTCCGCACTCACTCCGCACTGCCATGCCACGCGCCAAGTTTTGCTCTTTTGGCTTCCATATTTTACGTGGTATTTTAAAGAAATTCATTTCTCCAGCTGTAGGTTATACGCTTAGAGGCAACCTTGATAAAAAAAGCGTCGGTTCTTTTTTGTTTTGTAATGTAAGACCTAATATCATTAAAAATGTTCATCGATTTAACATTACCTATTGCACACTTTAGAAGAAATGTCATTTAGAAGAAATGTCATTTAGATGACAGTGTCTGTTCCACATTTTCGTAACGAAACAGAACGACGGCTGTTAATTATTTAGCGACTGTTTATTTCATACCAAATAATGAAGATTGTAATTTAAAAATATACCTACAACACTGCGAATAAAATGGAATTGTGTCCCCTGTCCAGACTGTATGAACTGTATGACGATGTTGTTACAGGCCGTGGTGCTGCCGCCGCTCGCCAGGTGGCCCTACGAGAACGGATTCACCTTCACCACATGGTTTCGACTGGACCCCATCAACTCTGTCAACATTGAAAGAGAAAAGCCATATCTATACTGGTAACAACTTAATTTTCCTTTTCGCACAGTCAAGATACTCACAAGCTCACAACCCATTTAATAAAGGCTCACACCAAATTACCGTTTCGTATTCGCAATATTCTCGGTAAATGGTATTATAATATAAGAAGGCAATAAACACTGTTACTGAGCCGAAAATATTTAATTACTTTTCTAACTCATATTACAAATTTGATTTAGAGTGAGTTAGAGACGATATTAAGTGAAGCTGTACTAGGAGTGTAGTACATGACCGATGCCAAATGTATTCCGTAAATCGCGTGTGGCCGCAGACCGCTGTACCTGTGTTTCCGACTTTTCATTTGATTTGAGTGGAGCTCGGACGTTTCAAGTGTAGTTTCGGTTGCGCTCTGCTATCCTGGTACTAAGCTAAATCATTTTCGGTTTGTATTCGAGGATAATTGAATTGCGAGTTCAACACAGGCCACATCCATTTAGAAGATCTTTACCATTCAGTATAAGTAGTTTATGGTCCACCGTTATTAAAAACTACAAAAATATGCTTTCAGGAGTTGTGTTGAGTGAGTAATAACAAATAGTAGTTGCATTAAACATTTTTTGACAGCTTCAAGACGAGTAAAGGTGTAGGCTACACGGCGCACTTCGTCGGCAACTGTTTGGTTCTCACATCCATGAAGGTGCGAGGCAAAGGATTCCAACATTGTGTCAAATATGAATTTCAACCAAGAAGGTGAGTGCGCCTGCAATCAATTAAAAACATTTCGCCCTCTTGCACTCGGGCTTTAAAATGGTGTTTTATATTTGAACTGCACAGCAAATTCTCAACTGCTTTAATGGTTAAAAATCTAAAATTATTTAAAGCTGTGGTGCGGTTAATTTTGAACGTGCTTCTACCAAATTTTAAAACTTTTGTTCAAAACACTAAATCAGGGCAGTGAAAAAGTTGCAGCAGTATAAATAAAGTTCCCTGTGTAGTCAGTTTATGACGACGGTCGGCTTTCGTGCGAAAAGTTGCCTCAAACATTATTCAGTGGATTTTTTATTATTTGACTGTGTTCACTCAGATGCTAAACTTATAAGCATAGCGCACGGAGCTGGAATCAGTTTTAATGTTTTGGTTGGATCAGTTTAACTGGTGAAAACAAGATATTATTTGTTCGAGCAATGTTTTACGTACATGTTAAAGATCCGAATAGAAAATTACACTTGAGTGAACGTTTTCAAAGTTACACGCTCCACTTGGCTTGATAATTATGCAAAATCTTCTTATAAAATGTTTTCGTGTAACAAATTATTCATCGAGCTAAATAATTATTATGTAAAAAAATGGTAATATGATTCTGCAATCATTTGGTGATCTGACGAAGTGTCTACTGGGTGGGTATACATACGTTGTGGATGGTATAGTAATTGTTGTTTCTCGTGCAGATGGTACGCGATAGCAGTGGTGTACATATACAACAGATGGACAAAGAGTGAGATCAAATGCTTGGTGAATGGACAGCTAGCGTCCAGCACGGAAATGGCGTGGTTCGTCTCCACTAATGACGTAAGTTGTACAATTTTTATTTTATTTCTTTGTTTTCTGTTAAGAGTTTTTTAGTGCAGGTTCTGTTGTTGTTCTTTCCGTCAACATTCTATATTTATGTTATTGTAAAATAGGTATACCATCATCACATCAAAACGTATTGCGAAGTAAAAATGCTGTCAAGTTTATAAATAGGGCAGTTCTTTTTATAATCCTAGTAATATTTTATGTCTTGGGGGCAGGCAATCTTTGACTTCTCAAATACTTAAATAGTAGCCCTTAATCCAAGTTAAAGTACCAAGTGCTCATAACTGTATAGGAGCTTAGCATAATACATTCGGTTATCTACGGCGAACACCCCTTTGCGACAAGTTGTGCGTTCGACTCGTCACGTACGTGTCGTTAGCAGCAATTTATTACAAGTAATGCCATGCAAATTCCTGCGGATAACGCGGACCTCATACATACTGAGTGATACAAGTTTTAAGTTTCTTGAAACTTGTATCGTCTGAACATAATTTGTGACTGTGAAACTACTTCCAACAGACTCCCATTATCTACACATTATTGAATGGTGATGACACATTTTGTTGCAAACCGAAACACGGGTATGTGTGCACATTAACATCGAAACTTGGGTAATAAAGCAAGTTGAAATGTGTACCGGTCAGAGCTCTAATCAAATGAAAATCATCGATTGATCGCAATGTGGAGCTTGCCACAAGGGATTGAGGCCCGGCGAATATTATTATGATTGTGACCCAAATAACCGACGCTAGCCTTAAACCTTGTTATTATGATTGTGGAAACGAACCGCTCATACGTCAGGAACATGTATCAGTATACGTTCCGCTACATTAATGAATTGTGTGTTGCCTTTACAAAGGCTCGATGCCAGTAATCCGGTTTAAAAAATACGCAGCCAATTAGACTGAAAGTGCACGCGTACGTTGTGTTGTATTGTTTTGATTGGATTCCTCCTTTGTTTGCTTTGTAAAGCTCCATTTAGTTCGTGTTCTCCTGATATTCTCTTTCCCGGTTGTAGGATTAAGTTGGTGTTAGTTCATGCATGCCACTATGAATATTCACCGGAGCTCGGACGTGGTCACGCATACTCGCTGTGAAATGAACTTGTCTGGCGTTGTGAAGACAAACTAATTATTTGGGACCTTGGTACACGTGCCTCTATCGCATGACACAGGATCCTGGCACTAGATATTATAAACGCTTCATTTTAAATCAACTGAAACAATATAAACTTGTAAGAAGCTTACTAAGATTCTAAGAAGAGCCTTTTATTAAATTCTTTAAATAAATTCATAAATTATTTATTTCAGCGGCGAGTTTTTAAATTAATTTATAACAAAAAAAGCTTAATTTAACACCCATTATTTTAAATTGTATGGCCGGCATTACAAGGGGTTGAATTATTTTATCAGTTCGGTATTTTGAAGCCGAGGGTTGTTATAAAAAAGTCTTTGATGTAGGTAAATTCTGGCTCTTGGAGAACAGAATAAGACCCTTAGAATAATGAACACTAATAATAGTATTACGGGGAAGGATACAATTTAATCAGTTTGATGTTTTACTTTATTATGTGTTTTATTAATAATGTAGCCCGTGGAATATTGTTATAGTTTCCCTTGTTATTACGAGTTATCGTTTTTAAAGGTACTTGCACTGATTTGGAATTTGTTTCGATACGGTATTGCAACTAAACACTGGAGTATTTCAGCTGTAAATTTGAATTTACATGGCATTACTGTGCACAGGGCTGGAGATAGGGTCGTTTGCTCGTGTGCTGCTTTAAAGATAGGCTGCACGATATTGCCGGGGAATTGAACCGGTTTCAAAGTGTTCAGTTATGTCGGCTTCATTGCGCCGCACTACTTGTTAGGAAGATCTGCGTATTCAGTGACATATTTTATGATATGATGACGATCGATAGACTAAGGTTTAAAGTTCTGATTCAACGATAAAAGTGTCGTATGTTTTGCGTACATTATTGTGTATTTAGTTGTATTAAGGAATCCATTGTCATATTACACATTCATACGTATCGAATAACTGGAAGCTAAAAAGAATGCTTATCAAGCATGTTTTCGAGACAAATTGATGATATTTCAACAATTTATTCGAATTGTTCATTTTTGTATTTACAATTAGTTGTCAACACTTCTATCCTTTGTAAACTAAATAGTTAAACATAAAGCAACATCAAGATTAGTCAATATATTGAAATATATTTGGAATAATGTAACAAATAATTCAGTTAGTGTGGGCGAGTGCCCGCGGGGTATGGATAGTATTCAGTTTTGTTATAACTTGCTACTGGTAGTATTGTCATCGGGTGCTTCATTAACATTCATTATCACGCGGCTTTACTTCGCTAACAATTAACATTCCATTACTCGGTGCCAGGTACCAACGTATTGGAACGTTGTATTGTTTATATTTTTGTTTAACTTACCTATTTATTGAAAATTAGTCTATAATATATATATAATAAGTTTATGTACTTAACGAATTATTCCATTCGTTTTTCGAAAAATAGTTTTTAACGTAACTGTATATAGATAATGTACTTAGCAGGTACATAGTTAGAAATGGGTAATTTATTAGCTTGTCAGTGCTCAACAGTCAGCATACATACTCTTTCGTGTTCTTTCTTTCTTTCTCAACCAAGATACCTACGACCCGGTGCGGTGCTAGGTTTCAGTTCAGTTCAAATTCAGCGAAATGTAGTAAACACAGACAAAGGTTCAAATTAAACTATGAATTAATTACACTGCAATGAGTCCTGTATAAGAAACTATTGATAGACTATATTCGTCGAGGTTTCGTCTTTGAAGTCTAAAAATATGCGCACAATATTTACGCAGTACCTACCAGGCGACCAGACGCCTACACGCGCTCTAAATGTCAAGTACTCAGAATATAGGGTTTATCACAAGCAATAGTCAAGAAATTCACGGAAACTATTATAAAAACTACATCAACTAGGACTGTAGCGTTCAGCTCCGTGTAATGTTGGTAAATTAATTTCATGGTTCATTTCAACGGAGCTTACAATAATACGTTTTCGACAATTTTCATTAAAATAATCGTTAATCCATCGATACCACCGGGTCTCATTAGTGTTAATATTATTTTTATTGTGCCAGCGATGTTGTCCATAAAGTAATGAATTGTTCTACAGAGCGTATTTGTATGTATTACATAAGCAGCGCGGGTACATAGGTTCCAATCAGTTTGGGTAAACTTGCGACGGTATATTGGTCCCGAATTCCTCGGATAAATACTTGCTGGCAACCTTATTCTTCATTTTGTATTAAACAACTTTCCCCACAAATGTTGGCTTTGCTTACTCTAATAGGAATTTCGTCCAATACTCGTAAGTTTCGATTCAATTTCGTTCTTTGTCGAAATATCGGCGAATATGAAATGTCTTCCCAATTTGTAATGGCCGCGCCGAAATCTTGTCTGAGAGGAATTTAATTTTTTGAAGTAATTCGGGATCCTAAACTAATTTTGTAGTTCAAGAGAAGCTGTCGAAAGTTAGTTGATAAGATGAGTTTACTTCAAGTATCTTTCGCCTCGATTTTAATAACAAACAAGATTGGGTTTGATTTGTGCAATATTAAAAAACTAAGTTGTTGTTCAGTGGGAGCACTTCCATCGACTTTATGGAAATTAATTTTTGGGTCAAGTTTCATAGCGAAAGTCAATACAGCGAGTCATAGTCATAAATATATTTTCAAAAGTACAGAACTGTATTAGTTTTTTTGTTGACCAGCCCTTCGACAAATGCTACATCGGTGCGACAGCAGAACTGGATGAGGAGCGAGTGTTCTGCGGGCAGATGGCCGCCATCTATCTGTTCGGAGAGGCTCTGACCACGCACCAGATCTGCGCCATGCACAGGCTGGGGCCCGGGTATAAGGTGAGTCTACTTTACAACTTACCAGAGATAATTACCTCTTTAAATGTTACATACAAAAAGATAAAACTGTTACATACTGAATTCACTGAACAATTAATGTTCAGTCCTGTACTTCTTTAAAAATGGATTTAATAATATATTGTTGTGTTTACCTTTGATTCTTGCTTACCATGGAAACAGAGTCAGTTCCGTTTCGACAACGAATGCAACATCAGTTTGCCGGAGAACCACAAAAGGGTGAGCGAGACGACCGCTCCCAAGCTTGACAGCGCTGATGTTCCTCCTCCTCCTGATCCCGAAACTCCCTCCCAAATCCCTGAGATTGAGCCGCCGCCTGATGTAGCTTCTCCTGAGGAAGATACTAAGCCCGCAGAACCAGAAGAAGCATGCGTAGTTGTGAAGGAAGACGCGACTCCTCGAGGACGGCGCATGGCCGACGAGGCGCGCGAAGTGGCCGCCGCGCATGCCTCCATGCTCGTAGATATTGAAGCATGCAAGCGTGTAAGCATGCCGCGCCGCTTGCCCTTACATTCAGTTTGTTGTTTAGTCCCGCTTGTGTGTGTACTCGCCTTGCCACGCTCACCGAGCACTCTTGTACAGTGTCACTGTGTAATGTCCGTTTGCTGTCCATGTGGTGCCAGGGTCAGTTTCGTTTCGACGCCGAGTGTCACACGCTGCTGCCCTCCATGGAGGTCCGCGTGGACCGCTACGGCGACCTCATTCACGATCCGACGCAGAACGTCCATGACGTAAGACGCTCCGCTGATAAATGTCTTTCACTCGGGTTTAATCTTGTTTAGAGAAGGAATTCTTCGATCTAAACTTCATTTCCACTAACTTGGGTGTGTCTTGGGTTCTAAGATTTAATAAAATAAGAGTTGCATGACAACTAACTCGGCAAAACTTTAACGAATAAAGTCAGCTATAACTGGGGCCCTATTATACACAGACCTCACAAAATTATGGTAGTTAAATGCATAAAAGGCAACGAACCGACAAAAGGCGAGTTAATTTGTTCGATTATCAGAAATTGCTAAATGTTATTTTCAGAGGAAATTAGCGAAATCCCTCGATTTATCAAAAGATATTGTAAACGATTTGTACAAATATTTAATGCTAGCTCAAAGTAAAACCATTTGCAACTTTAATGATGTTACAGTATTCCATGAAAGTGAATTTAAAATGAGTTTCAAATTATACCTTTGTTCAATATTGACTTGGATTTAATCAAAATGGACTTAATTTTAGTTTTACGTCTGGTATTATGAAACTCTTTTAATCCGACTTGAGACTGGAGTTAAATATTAATGTAAAGTTGAGGTGTGCGCAGCTGACGGCCGCCACCACCGCGGCACCGCCGCCGCCGCCCGCCGCAGTATGGACGTATCGGTTGTGTTGGCATGTCTACACGCTCCGCTAAATCTAAACTCAACTCAAAAGTTATTTATTGGGCCGGGATTGTAAAAGTTTCAGGTAACATTCAGGGCTTCATTAGTCCTGAATAAATAAGGGTTCCGTCCGGTGGAGCTGGTTTATGTGGTGTTTACTTATAGCATGCTGGGCTATATTCAAACTTCGTGGTGATTGTTTACTTCCTCGTGTCGTTCATTTAAAATTAAAGGTTAAATTTTGGACTTAGCAATTCAGCAGTAGCTTATCAAAACAATGTTCTTGATGTTACAATCCCAGTACACAATACACATTATCAATTACCAAACATTTAGGCCCGGGAAATGCAATTTCCGTGTCGTGTGTCCCCGAGGGACGTCCAGTGAGGGACAACAAGTAAGGTCCGCGGAGTCTCGGCAAGTCGTACAAGTTGGACCTCACTTACCGCACGATGAGCGAGGAGGGTCGGCCTTCAGCCGGTGGATACGCTCGTAATGGCCGCTCCCTCTTGCGGTTTCATTATAATTCAACTTGAGGATATCTCCCTCAGTCCCTGTGAAAGGTACAAGACATTTACAGTAGTGCTCTCGCAACATTTGCACGTTTACTTAGCCGAATCGTTTTCGCTCTTTGACGACATTTCCAAGAACTTTCTTGAAGCGAATAATCTGATCTTACGTTCAGTCGCTGAGTACTCTAGTTGTGCTAATGTAACGTAATCTAGTTTAATGTCCTTATTCTAATTCTTACTCTCAAGTATGACTTAACAAATATTCAAGAGTTTCGTGGTCACTTTACATTACTTGTTAGGAACAATAAATATTTATGTTTCACTCTCTTTGTCTTTGGTAACATAATAATTTATACCATAAAAGTTGTTCTCGACTCATATTGCCCACAATAATTACAAGAATTCGAAATACGTCTACAGGCTGTATTACCATTACATTTCGTAGTTCCTGTAATGTCCTACACATTGACGTAGATTACAGTATAAATATTATTTTTATTGAGTTTTTAAGTTTCCCAGAATTTGTTCAGGTTACAGATAAGTAAGCTACTTAGTATGCTTTTTGTGAGCTCAGTTCCCTGCTTAGTATCTACTTTACTTTTATTATAACTTTAAAATATTCCACGAGGTTTACCTCAAGGTTTCTGTAATCCCTACAGTCTTGTGTCGTTGGCTTTATATTTATTACAATATTTTTTTAGAAGAACATCACAAATGTAATGAAAATATGAAATAAATATTCGTACCGCGGAAAAGTTGACAAACGGAAATTCAGTTAGGGTCCTATTTATCTCACCGTGATATTTAAAAAGTTACCACGACAAGGTTGTGCGTAAAAAGAAAAAAATCCAAGTGTAGCCGCTGTCTGAATGCAATTAAAACTTTGCTAATTGATTTTTTTTATTAATTATGAGTAAGTTAGGGACAATAATGAGTTTCGAGAGCTCGGCGCGTTCTCTGCGCATTAATTTGACTAATATTCACGCGTCCCGACTCACTTGAAATCGTAGCTTTGAGTGTAATTTGGAGTATTTCTTATTTAATTAAGAAAGTAGTGTTTATTTTAGACAGGTATTCGTAATTAGCAAACGGCAAGGAATTGTTTATTACATCTGTTTATAGAAGACCGGCCGGGCTCGACCTGTCACTGCCATTATAATTTACACCGACATCTCGTTGCCTGCCCGCGTTATTGTGAACGACGAGGGCGAGAAATTGACGTAATGTCTCTCTTGATAAACATTTGTAAAAATTAGAAGATAATTTTATGCAAAAAGTTTTTAATTTTCATAATTGTTATTGTACTAATTAAATAATTAATTATGTTGTCTATTGTGTATTATGTAGAATTTATCTTACAGGGTGTAGACGTGAGTGGTCCCATGTAACGTTACACGGAGGACTGTGTTAATTTGGCATACACTATCCATTGTCTGCCAAAATAATAGAAAAAGTATTGTGCGATAGGTAGATTTTATTTTCTGTTTCTATCGGTATCACGGGGAGTTCGTATTGTACGAATTGAGTTCCCGATGCGTTGGTATCGCCTAGTACCCATATTTCACGAAGAACGTAAGATTTCCGTGAAAAGTTTATTCTACTTCTTTCTTTCTGTATTTTATTTTATCATCCATAAAAATGTTGCAAATATTGAAGCGCTCAGCAAATACTTTTACCAGGAGCGCATATTTGCACAGGGTTCGCAAGTTAGGGAAAGTTAGGTACAGGCAGCGTACAGTTTATTGGCGGGACCGGAGCTCGTTGCGTTGCGCGTCGCAGCTTTACGGCTCGCACTGAGCCATATAACTTTTCTAGTGTGACGTAATAAAACAACTTGCGTAATGAGAATGTACTTGCCACGTAAATTTTAGGGGCAGTAAAACGAATTTTATGTCGTCATTTTGACGGAAGGTTGATTTTGAAAACCTTGTCTTCACAAACATACTTCATTTGAAGGCTGGCCTTTACTTCAGGTATTCGTTACCCCCGTGTTTCTACGAGAGAGGAGGACCGTGCTATATTATATTCTGGATGTGTCTGCGACTTACAAACGTTCGTTGATCTCGGTCGGCGCTGTCGTAGCACACAGTTCACGTAATTTCGCCAACTTTGTATGAGAAAATGAAGACTGTCAACTCGAATTAATTCTATAATTATTTATGCTGCCGTGAAAAGTACGAGAAATCCTATTACTTGGTAAAAAATTGTAGTCTCCTAACAGAATTTTAATCATAACGTAAATGAATGTTTGACTTGGGGGAATATTTCGCGGCGCGCATTCAGCATACATAATTACACAGACGACAGCCAGAGACGGCATTGTTTACTCTTGTTGTTGTTTTAAAAAGTAAAATTACTCAAAGAAAATGGAAGTTTAATGAGAATGTGGAATTTAATTAGGACTACCTACTTACTTAGCTAACGTTTAAAAAACGTATCTTCTTTTCGTTAAATCTGTTGTCTAATTAAAGTAAGCTAGATCAGATTGACGAAAAAATGAAGTCTTTTATCCTCATCCTTATTAAAAAGTGTAGATCAAATAGCACACGAACAATAAACACGGCATAGAAACTTAATTAAACAATGTTATTGCGAACGATGAAGTCGTGTAAAAAGAGAATAACTGAATAATAGTATAATTGTGTGCAGATGTCGCGAGAGCCTCCCGCCCTATTATTACAGTCTACAAGCTAGTTAGGCCTCCCTGCTCCTCTTGCCAATACAATTCAGATGAAAGTTCCTCGACCGTGAAATAAGATGCTATCGACTGAGACTACCAACTAACATAATGAATAAGCCTATTGTTATCGAATTATGACAAGTCTACGGAACTTTAGATAGTCGGACTCGAAACAAAAGATCTTGTAGTTTAGAAATTGTTACTAAGTTGTAATTTCACTACATTTTTGTATTGTTTTTCAAAAGTGTTAGTTACGCCTTACTCGCTTAAGTAATTTTGGAGCTGCTCTAAATGCAAGGAAACTAATCTAAACATGGATGCAATTACTATGGGAAACGTCACTTTAAAGACTCAAAAGATATTGAATTCAATAACGCTGGTTTAGACAAGTTATTTGAAAATATTACAAGTTATCGCAGTTTAAAAGCGGCCTGAGCGACAGGAGTATGTGACCTAATCTACGCAAACTGCTTACCTAAAGTGTTCATCTCATTTTGTAGCAGTTATGAAACGTATTAGTTTTGGTAAAGGCATGGAGCTGGGCCTGTCTCTGTTCTACAAGTTTTATTAAGAAGTGTAAGTAACTTGTGACACTCCGCGCCGTGCTCCAACACAAGGAGCTCGAGTTTGCGAGATTATTTACTTGTTCAAGATGGGACAATGAATAGTTTTAGCCTTTAAAACATACGTTTTCACTATTTTATTGGTATAGGCGTACAAGCATAAGCACATACTTCGCTAATAGCTATCAAAAATCTCCGGTTTCTATGAAGTTAAAATGAATGTCGTCGAACTCGTATTATTGTATTTGTTTAGTATCTTTTCGTCTAATTAGCTGTGCGGGATATGTCATATGGCAGTACATTTTATACACGTTAGGCATAATAGTATTTACATCAAACGCATTGGATAGTTAAATACAATACATAATGATTAAAACGAAGACTTTTTGATAACAATGCGATTGGTTGGGGTCAAAATGTCATCTCGAAATGGCGTGATTACCCCTTCCTCCACCCCCCATACTAATTAAACGGCAAATTGAGCCGTTGATATCTGCGCGGTTATTAGTTAATCACATCAAATTGCAGATCAATTGATGTGCAGATGCTTTGTAATTAATTATTACGAGTAGGCAGTGGATGCCTGCAATGTAATCGATTAGTCACTTCGCCAGTCAACCGGCAGACGGTGACGCCCAGTCTAGTGCATGATTTTGATTACTTAAACCATGTAGAAACACTAATTTAGTCAATTCATGGGTCAGTTCATCAAAAATGTGGCATTTTGTGATTAAATTCCCTTCGCTTGTCACATGATTTAGTTATGCAGGGTACTAGGACCGAAGAATTCAAAAGATTTGTCGCTTCCAGCTGTTATGCTTTCGCGTGCGATGCATAGCAGTAGTGCATTTTAAAGTAAAACAATCTTGTGTAACGAGATGGCTACGGGCACGGCAGTCGGCCGACATTGTTTTGCCTCGTCTTATGTATTTTAATATTAAATTGCTCCTGCACGCTCCTTCCAGAATTTACTTTCAACTTTACTTTGTTTGTGTAAAGATATTAGGGTATATCTCTCAATGCTGTTTGGTTCTGGGAAAGTTTCTTTAGATATTTAGTTTACTTTCAGACGTCATATTTAAATAATGATGTAAAACAAAATCGTACTATTTCTGCATTTTTAAATCCATAAAATTATCCCAGCGGCAGTCGTTGCCACACTCCATTTTACTTAGCAGCTTGAGAACTATTTTCAAACACAAACTTCATAAAAGAACGCTCTATCTAGCACTTAAAAGTTTTTACAGAGACATAATTCATGTTAACTAAGTCAAAGACACTCTGGTAAGTGTAAAACTTTTCACTTGCTTCGTACCAGGACGTCATAACTTGCAAGTTGTGCGATAAACTCGGATACTGCAGCTGTAATGCAAGCACATTGTGTCGCGGCCCCATACGCCATGCGACCACTCCGCTGTGTCCCGTACACTAGATGATTAACGACTGTGGAAAGCGTACTCCCTTAGTCAAATACTAGGTTGTCAATGCCGTCTGGAGGTGTTAAGATGGTTACAAGTTTTAATTGAACCCTCAGTTTTAAAACTAAATTTAGTCTACCATTTAGTAATTAGAGAGTGATACTCCTAGTTTATTCAACTAGTTTAGTGAGGCGTTTAACTTTATAATCAACGCTGGATTGGGTTTCATTAAGTTTAATTGACATGTGTAACCTTTTTATTATTTAATTGTCCCTGGTAGACGGACTTTTTAATTGGTTAATGGCTTAAGGGTCATCTTGTGTTGCATACTTTTGCCGATATGCTATTAAATAGACGTCAAATGTTTGGTTATTGATATGGTAAAAGTGAAGTACATAACGCTTTAAAATATACCAAAGCAATTTCATCTTGATTGACAGTTAATCATACGTTAACTTAAAAAACAACCCCAGTGGCTTGTTAACACAACGCACGTAATCTCATTACGTGCACCAGGCGCCCAGAAAGTAGCGAAAGCTTAAGTGCACTCCCCGTGAGACGGTACTTAGATTAGCCGGTAATGCACGTCTGTGCTCTGTGCAAACTTCGACCCGGGTAGGATTCACTTTAGAATCCACCGGAACCAATAACCCGTGCGAGTTGAAATCCCACTGTCCGAGAATTACTTAAAATTAGTTTTAGGTGGCATTAACGGAGTTTAAACGGAATTGGATCCGGTAAACGTGGTTTAGTGGCCTTAACGATAGTCCGGGACTTGTGAGTATTACAAATAACAATTCGTTGAAATTGTAGAGTTGACATGAATATCCTTTTATTTCATCTTTGTTCGTGGAAATAAAAATGTTGGTAGATGAACTGTCGACGTGTCATACGTGGTTCACTGCCATCACTGCTGAGGTTACATTCTGAATAGCTTTTAGTGGTCACCTCTCGAGGGGTGACGGCTGACGGCTGACGGCAGACGTCCTCTCGTGGTTAATGCCCGCGATGACACTACCCTGCGGTCTACTGCTAACATTGAACCATACGCTCTCCTAGAATTTATTTGACTACTGTAATTCATTTTTAACACTTTATGTACACATGTATGAATAATGTTCTTTCCTCTTAAATTCTTTTGAAATGTTTAACTCTAATATACTTACCTGTATCATGTGGTCTTGCATGTCTACTATAAATTACTTTGGTTTAGAAAATAAGATAGCTATACTATATTATTATGGAGATACATCGTAGTAACTTATAAACCCCGGCAGGCTACTTTCTTCCTAACCTATGTTACAGTAATGCGATCGTTATTGTGTTTTATGTGCATTATTACGGACTTACTTCTATATAAGAGCTGTTTTCCTGGTACCTCTATACGGAAATAATAGCATTAGGTGTAACATTAGCCGAAATATAAACGACTAACATATTTTTTTTATGTATTACTTACCTACTTTTTACACGAAGTATACGGGTTGTAATAAAATTTGGTTCCTTTTTACAAGTTTTTGTTTGATTTCTTTAAACTTGAACACAGTGTTCTTGTTGTACTTTTATACTACAGCTTAGTTTAAAAAAATGAACCAAAATGTCGTTCTGGCACGTTGTTGTAAAATTCTTTCGTATGAAAAATGTTAGAGGACAACAGTGTCCATCAGTAAGCAGACCCACATCACACACAGGGCTTTCGTGCTGGAATTGTTAGACAATGTTAAAAAGGGACCCAAATGTCGCTTTTCATAAATGGGAAAACAGTTTTTATAAAGAAAGTGTGGTTTGGTGTGGTATTGTGTTATGTTCCGTGTGGTTCCTGCTATCCTGGTAACAGTAGCCTAATAATGTGCTATAAAGCTTTGCATGTGTAATGGGTCCCTCCTGAGTGTGTTTCTGTGTTTTGTTTATATACCATATTTTTTATCATTCCTATTTTTTATACAGTACTTACTTAGAAATTCTGAGCAAGTTACACAACTGTTATGTTTTTATTTAGTTAAATATGTTTGCTAGAGAACTTCAATAATTATAAAGATGCATATTTTTGTCTTTTAAAATCAAATACTCTCACAATAGCACAGCGTGTACATGTATTTAATTTGTGAAATAGTACAGGGAATGATTACATTCCCTAGTGTATTAACACTGTTCACATCACCAGGTCCTCTACGATGGCAAGCTGTCATCCGCCATAGTGTTCATGTACAACCCGGTGGCCACAGACGGACAGTTGTGTCTGCAGTCAGCTCCTAAAGGAAACGTCTCGTATTTTGTACATACGCCACATGCGCTGATGCTCCAGGTAAATATTAAGGGTGTGGTTTGCATAGCTGAAGTAATATCTATGACAATTTGTGTAGTAGTGCTTCGCATTTGACAGTACTTACGGTGCTAAAAGAAGACATTAATATAAACATGAAATTATATTTTCTGCGGTTCAATTATCATACCAAACAAACATATTGTTGTAAATGGGATTCCACAACGAGGGTTAAAATCATCGTACAAAAACTACACGGTTTTGTATGTAAATAAAATTGACGAATGAAAGTCAAGTCACTGTTTCGGAAACCTATGTTGTAGTGGTTGGCAGGCTAAAATAAAATGGTTCCGATATTGTTTGGTGCTTCAGCCCCGATAGTATTACATCCATTTGCAACGAGTGCGCGATACATTTGGGCGCGCACTCCACCCAATTAGGCTCACCCTGGGGCCTAACTCCGGCTCGGTTTACCAGTGTGAACATTTTATTGTAATTCTTCTTTCTCAATAATGTATGTACATACATGTAATAACGTCCAAAGTTGTTAAGACCCTTTCTACAGAAGTTCCCAAGTTATGTCTAGTTTCCTCCAAGTGACCGCGGGTCGATCGATACTTCGTTACGCCAAACTTAATAACCTCATGTTAAAATTTTACTAAACTCGGCCATACTATGCTCTGGAATCATCAAAGTTCTCGTTATAAATAAATTATAAGTCAAACTAAAAGTGTTACAAGTTAAGGATAAGCCAACTTTAGTAATAACTTAGAAACTTGTTACATAAGAACCGAGGTTACCTATTAACTGTTATAGCTTTTCGATATTCTCTCCTTTAAATCGTGAGGCGGCACTATTACAGCGGATTGACTTAATGTATTGTAGGATTTCTAGTAATAAGTACCTGGTTTAGTATTCCAAAGTATAAACTTTACAGCCGTACGTTTTTCCCACAGGAGGTGAAGGCAGTAGTGACACACTCGATACACAGCGCATTAAATTCCATCGGCGGGGTGCAGGTTCTGTTCCCCCTGTTCGCACAGTTGGACCTCCCGCACGACGCGCCCGCCACAGACCCCAAGAGAGACCCCATGCTATGGTATGTCGCCTTGTAACACTACAAGCTGGTAATGAAATGCACAAAGTTGCCAGCAACTACCGTAAGTAGCTGTCTCCTAATAATTTGACAGCAACCCTAAACTGGCTGAAATGTTATTACAAAACTTTGCGGGAATTGATTCACTGCGCAACTGAAACAAAGGAAGTGTTGAACGTCCCCTGAACAAATTGCTACCTCAGCTCCCAGTTACCCCATAGTTTGTGAACATTAGTTAGGCCCGAAATAAAGTTGGCCGGCATTCCAGAACTAAATCACCGGCATTGAGCTTAGGGAGCGTTTGCGAGTGCCAAAGCCAGTCATTAATATTCCTAGTGGCTTCGGGCGCGTTAGTTGGCTAAATGCACTTTTACTGTCGGCCGCCGGCGGCAGCCAGCAGTGGCTCTCCACCTCCACGCTGCGGCGGCAGCGGCCTGTAGCGACTCTGTAATACGACTCGGGAACTAACTCCTGCCAACTCCTAATTGCCTGGTGCCTACTCCGCTTAACGGAATAGATTTATGAGCGACATTTTGCGGCGACAATTTATATTAGCATAGGGTTACGAAGGGCGGTTATTAAATTATCAGGCGTGACATTTATTTTAATGAGAAAACCTTAAAATTTATGAAATATTAAGGGCTGCGCAAACATCGAATTTATTTCATAGTTACGCCTTAATGGACTTGCGTTAGCAGACTGAAAAATAGATCGCTTTAATTTACAAAACTCGGATTTGCAACGTTACGTTGGTTGAAATAATTTTGTTCAAAGCTTGTGAAAAAGGTTATTTTAAATGTATCTGCGTTTATGTCACATTAAAAACTGTATTACTGAATCGATGAAACCGTCAGTTCATTTAGCGATATTCTTTTGCTTCGTTTCTAGAAAATAATGAAGTCAATATCGATTGAAAAGACCTTTGCATAATTTTGTTATCATTTTCTATACAAAATGGCCTCGCCGGCAAACTTGTATGGCTCATGAATATAAAAAATCCATGCTAACGTATACACATTGGGTATTTGCTAACGTCGGTCACACGTGTTTAATATTGACGTAGGTTGAAGCGTATGATAACAGCCGCACTGACAGTTCAAAGCGTCGCCTTCGACGACCCGTGTCACGCCCGGTTGGATCCGGATAAATAAGTCCTCCGTACGCCATCAAAATTGTACCAACACATCAAAGGTACAACAGATTAAATTTATGCATAAGAGTAACCTGCCTCGTCTAATGAGACGTCTCCCTATCCTCGCGACAGAATTAACACAAAGATTATTAGAAATATATTTTACGAGGGAATTCCGTAGGTGCCGCGTTATTATTCCCTAGCAATTGCTGGGACATTACGCCGGAGTATACATGTATTATTTATGGACTTGAAACGAGATTCATCGCTTTTGGGATATATCTTAAACGGTGTAAATTTTTCATGTCGCAATCTGCGTCGTTTTATTTGAGGACAGATCTGAAATATTGTTTCAGCTTCACCACTTGCTGTTGTACTGAATTTCGCTCAGAATGTATAAATTGAGGATATTCATTAATATAATTAATGGTAGGTTACCTAATTAGGGTTAGGCTGGTGTTGACATGTGCTCCATTCTTAGCTCAAAGCTGCTGGGGTTCGTGTGCTCGCTGGTGGAGTCGTGCAGCACGGTGCAGCAGCACATGCTGCAGTGCCGCGGGTTCCTGGTCATCTCTCACATGCTGCAGCGCTGCAGCCGCGACCACCTGACGCCCGACACGCTCGCCTCCTTCCTGCACCTCACCAAGCACCTCGTCACCTGCTGCTCTCCTAACTCCGACCTGCTGCTCAAACAGGTATGATTTTAGAACATTTCTTATTCAGCACCTTGGTTTGTAAAGTATTTTTTATTCCCAAGTAATTTATGGTAAAAGAGTTGAAACATATTATCTTGTTATTTTTATCAAGTTACTTTATAAAAGTTCTCAAATTGAACGTAACTAATTTTATATTTCGTCCAAGTTCGTTTGTTCTTGAAATTAATGCAATAAATTTTGTTTTTATCGTTTTACCGAAACATCAAGATTAATTCCTCGGATATTACCATAATACAGCTCGTTTAAAACGCGCTACAAAGGTACAACATCCCATAAATAAGTAAGAAAATTGCCTTCATAAGGTAATTTATATCGGGCCGTTGTTGAGCTCGTCTATTTGTTAAAACAGATGTTTTTCTGACTTTCATTAAGTTATGCTTCACAAAGATACGCAAATATAAACATCAGCTATGAGCCGACAGATGTAAATATTGACTTACATTAATTAATTCAACTCTTCATTACACAATAGGTAATGTTCAGGCAACATGCACTCATTAGTCGTGTACATTACAATACAAAACTAGCAGAATGTATGTCGCTACAAGGATGCGAGTCACAGACACCGAGCATACTCTGAAACTGTACCAACGGCACACTCCACAGCTTCGGGGCTTGTAAACATGTGTAATTGAATTAAACAAATCAATTAGGTAATGGAACAAACACGCGATAAGCGGCTGGGCTCGCTTTGTACATTTAGTGGCTCGAACACAACACACTGCCAGCGAGCCTGACAATATGCTTGGGTTCACTTGCTCGCGATCTATATCACAACAGGAGCAAATAAACCGTCGGTTGTAACATTTTTAATGAAAAAGCTTCATTAATTCCTTCTAAGTAATAATTTGTAAAGTGAAGTCGTTGAGTAAGTGTTGCTCAAACATATTGTACAGGCTAAATTTGGATTCCAATTTGTATAAAACCAACAATCAATCACTCTCACTTTTGTACCGGCAGGTTTATTTTAAGTGTGACTGGTGCCCCGTCCTTTATGTAAATTTTGTACTGATTTTTTCTCGATTGGAAATATTTATTCGGTTTGTTTATTGTTTGTTACATATTTAATGATTTGCACAAAGGACTTTCGGAAAGTCGATTTGCAAGCGTAATCTGTTTGAGTACCAGGCCTACAAACAGTATAAAGAGATCGTTTCTGCTTTGTTTCCTTATTGCGAGTTGACGATATTTCCAGTCGAGACGAATGAACACATTAGCACGTGGTCACGATGTGTTCCCCAACTGATTTGTTCGATGGTTGTTAGCGCATGTTCCTCTTGCTTTACTTCACCTCGACTGTTTACTACAGTTGTCTCTGCACACCCACTGTTATCAGGGATATAATTTGTGGTACTATCAAATCTGATACTTTATTTTTATTTTATTTATCTAGTTTGATGTTACCTACTATTTGGCTTCCAATTCTCAATTACGAAGTGACAATGAATTTTTAAATGAACGTGTCACGAAATAGTAAGTATATTTGTCCAGTACCTAAATCAACCATAAACTAATGTCAAATATTTGCGGATTTGAAGCCCTTTCTATATTTATCTAGCCCCAATCCTACACACACATTCCCCTGTAAACTTTAGTGCTTCACCAGATATGAACCCCTGGTAGCGCTTGCAGTACCGTCATGTTATATTCACGTTTATTTTATTATCTCATTTTATTAGTTTATTTTGATTACATTATTCAAGTAAAATATTTTGAAGGGTTAACTAGTTGACACAATAGCTATAATGGACACAATGGAATATTATTTCAAATGGTATTTATTTACAATAGCTTTCTGCACTAATGCTTTTTTACAATGATAAATGAGATCCTGTCACGGCCAAGTAAAGTCCTTTATTCTTTTTACAAATAAACCTTACTTTTCAGATGAAAAAGCAATAAGTGAAGTCGTATTATTTAGTTAGTTAGAACCTATGTCACTGTACTTTTCTTTTATTTCAATTGCTTCTATAATATTTATATGTAGGCAGGCACAAGACCTTGCAATATATTTATGAGATGTAGTAGTACTGAATTAGAGGCAACCTGTAACTTGAGACATTAAAGCATCTATCAAGTATATCCCTGTACTAGGCGAACATACAAGCAAGAGAGAATACGCTTTCAACCATCGGACAGCCTAAGGTCTATGCTAATCGCAGTCTTTCTGCCAATCCTTTCTGACGTGGCAGCTGTTGGACCACATTCTGTTCAACCCGGCGCTGTGGATCCACACGCCGGCCGCGGTGCAGGCGCGCCTGTACTGCTACCTGGCCACCGACTTCCTCGCGGACGCGCACATATACGGCAGCGTCAGGCGCGTCAGCACTGTGCTGCAGACTGTGCACACGCTCAAGTTCTACTACTGGGTTGTGAACCCGAGGGCCAAGAGCGGCATCACGCCTAAAGGATTAGGTAAGTACCGACATCGACACTAGGACGATACCCTCCCTTCATTTATTATTCAGTTACCTCAAGGAGACTAAGTAATTAGATACTTTTTGGAAGACATGAATTTATTAATATGAACTCTTTTAGACCGGCCAAATCTATTATGGATGAAGCCTTGGAATACGTCCATAATTTATTATCAGTAATGAGTTTTTAAATTGAAAGAATAAGTAATGGCAAATACTCGTCTTCGTGGAAATTAAACGGAATATCCGTCTTATTCAAATTGTTCTAATTACACCGACATGACGGAACATAATTATACGCAAACATTTAATCTATTAAAATATTCCGGGGGTTGCAAAAGGTTAGGGAGATACCCGCCTTAACGAGAAACACATTGAAAGGAGAATGAATACGTTTCAACAATTTGAGAATTTCTTTAGTCTGTTTTGTTGTAATGCGTAAATTTAATTCCAGAGGGACCTCGGCCAGCCCACAAGGATATCCTCACAATCAGGGCGTACATACTATTGTTCTTGAAACAATTGATCATGATTGGCAACGGAGTCAAGGAAGATGAGTTACAGTCGATACTCAATTATCTCACAACTATGCACGAGGTATGTTTCCCTGGAATTTTAGACTTTAAATTACCAGAAAGATTATTAAAAAAACTATTATATTAAACTTAATGATTTCAATTTTCACAGGATGAGAATTTACACGACGTCTTACAAATGTTAATATCACTGATGTCGGAACATCCCAGCTCGATGGTGCCCGCGTTCGATGCCAAGGTAAACCAATTTAATAATTGATTGTCTGCTTTCTGATGCACAATTAAATGAATGTTTAAAACTATTATTTGTGTTTGTATAACAGGGTGGAGTGAGGACAATATTCAAACTACTTTCATCAGAAAGTCAACTGATCAGACTGCAGGCGTTGAAACTGCTTGGATTTTTCCTAAGTAGAAGCACGCATAAGTAAGTATTTTTAAGATTGTCACTATAAAAATTGGGTATTTAGGCACTAGAATATTCCTTTAAATAGGCTATTGTCACATTAATTTCCATTTGTTGATGAATGTCGAAATAACCATACTTAGTTGAATTTAACGCCTACTTGTCTCTTAGATGTTTAAAGTACGTATGCGGAGTTCAAAACGTAACATGAATATATGTAATTTGTAAAATAGTAGGTTGGATGGTACATTAACATTGCACGATATGTGCAGACGTAAGTACGACGTGATGTCTCCGCACAACCTGTACACGCTGCTGGCGACGCGGCTGGGCGCCAGCGGCGAGGGCCTGGCGCTGCCCGTGTACAACGCGCTGTACGAGCTGCTCACCGAGCACGTCGGCCAGCAGATACTCTACACCAGCCATCCGGAGCCACAGCCACACTTCCGCCTGGAGAACCCCAGTAAGGCACTCATCATTTGTATGGACAGAAATATTGCAAAAACTAGTTTTATTTTAAAAATTATTTGCGTAATATGTAAAATCCAATACCTACCTACCAGTACCTGTTCTAAGAATCGAATCCTGAACAAGTTTTTTGTCAATCAACTTGGCCAATGAGGCAAAGGCAGTCGCAAAAGATGTAAATTGAAATGAACCTCTTGTCCGTGCCCATATGTAATTTCATAAAATCGGACAGTTACACAAGTTTTCTGTGGTTCCCAGTGATTCTGAAGGTAGTGGCGACGTTGATCCGTCAGTCGAAGCAGACGGAGCAGTTGCTGGAAGTGAAGAAGCTGTTCCTCTCCGACATGACGCTGCTCTGCAGCAACAACCGGGAGAACAGGAGGACTGTGCTGCAGATGTCTGTCTGGCAGGTAACTGCAACTTCGTCCCATGGAACTAGACAGAAAATATAAAGCGCCTCCCAAACTTTGCATAATTCTTTACCTTCCAACGCATTCATTATATATCTATTCCCACATCCTTATCACATTTTTCATAATTTTACGTTCATCCATTGGCTTGACATTTACAATCCTTCTTAATATAATATTATTATTTGTACCCAACATTTTCTCATAATTTGTTACAGGAGTGGCTAATAGCCATGGCGTACATCCACCCTAAGAACGCGAAGAGCAGAAGATATCGACATGGTGTACTCTCTCTTCCGCATGCTGCTGCATCACGCCATCAAGCATGAGTACGGGGGCTGGCGGGTCTGGGTCGATACTCTGGCCATCGTGCACTCCAAGGTACTGTGTCGTTAGTGACATCTACGGTTATACAATTTGTAGCAACTATGCTTCTTCTATTTATGATGTAACTTGTTGTTAATTAAAAATGTCTCGTTGCTCAGGTATCGTACGAGGAGTTCAAGCTGCAGTTCGCGCAGATGTACGAGCACTACGAGCAGCGCCGCGCGGACAACATCACCGACCCCGCCGAGCGCCAGCAGCGCCCCATCTCCACCATCTGCGGCTGGGAGCGCCGCGACGCGCCCCCCGCGCCCGCGCCCCCCGCGCACGCCGCCGCGCCCCCCGCGCCCCCGGCCCACCACCACCACGCCGCGCAGACTGAGATCGGTGCCGGCCTGTCCCTGCGCGAGCTCGACCACTGCCGCTGTAATGCAGCTGCAGAAGCCGATCGCAGTGGCGCCCTCTATAGCCAAGTGTGCAAAGTGCATAGCCCCAAACGAGATGCCACCGATGACTCCGCCATCGACACGAGGGAAACTGCTCACTGTACCAGCAGTGAAGTAGAACATGCCATTGACGAAGTGGAAACACCCATAGACGATGCAGACCGCGTTGTATCCCCCTCCGATGCATCACCTTCGGATAACGAACTGGTGCGGTCCATCATAGATGATACCAAATGTTAGAAGATCCAGAGTCAGGTGTTGGCACGCTGGAAAAGAGTGACGAGCCACTGACGAGACAAGGCAGTCTAGACTACATCCCTGTCCGAGACGTAGGAGATGGTGTTTCAAAAGATGATGCCACCGACCGCAGTGAAGGCATTCCTTCTAGTCTATCAGTCAGTGAGACTGCTAGTCCAGAACGAGTCGCTGAACTTAACGTCGCCACTGAACGCGAGTCTGAACTGTCAGACCGGTCAGACTTGTACTTAACCCCTAGTGAGGCCACGAGCCCGAAGAAATCATTAGATAAAGCTGACGATGATCCAGACGACCCCAAGCGAGTCGCCATCAACATCGTCAACGATGTACTGAGCATCGCGCTCGAAACTGTGAGGCTAAAGACTGACGACGACACGGACTCGGGCGCCATCTCCGGGGGACTGCACTCTGAGGGCAACACTCCCAACGGACGGGACGACTTCGAGCACGAGGTCGACGACGTCGTGGACGACAAGCGAACGGCGGAGACGATCGCTAATGAACTAGTTACGGATTTAATTTCTTCGGTTGTGACAAAAAGTGAAAATGTTGAAATTGCTGAAAGCAGTAGTGAGACTGTTGTGGCGGATAGTGAACTTGTTGAGCCGGTTAGTAAAGACGTTGATACGGATAGTAAAACTGTTGAAGCAGATAGTCAAAACGTTACTACGGACGACAATAGTCCGCAGAGGGTCATTCCTCGGATCACCCGCACGAGGGCAATGTCCTTCCTCTAGATGGTGAATTTTTAGTCAATTCTAGAACTGAAGAGGCTGAAAAATTAGATGTAGATAAAAAAGATGAAGTTACAGAAGAAAATGAGAAAAATGAAAGCCAAAGAGTCGACGCACCGACAACGGAAGAAGACGAAGAAAAGACGCCAGAGATACCTCCGATCTCAACTATTAGTGAGAGTATAACGTTAGCGAATAAAGAGGCAGAGAGTGAAGATGACAATCATGATAGTGAGAGAGACAAAAGACGCGTCAGTTTACCTGGCGACGGTGAGATGAAGCAGGATAGCAGCAGAGGCGAAGGAGTGGCCACACAGGGTACCAACACTTCAGCATCACCTAAGAGGCCGCGCAGTGCTCTACTAGCACGCAAGTGGATTCTAATCATTTTGGTAAGCAGCATGTATCATACTACCATTATAAAAATGTTACAAGTATTAAAAATAACATTGCACTCTTTATAGAAACATCGAAAATAATGTTGTACTAATTGAAAGTGTGTTAATGTTCCAGAAACAAAGCGGCCGTCGAAGTGTTCCCGGCCGATGTTCTCCCCGGGCCCGACGCGGCCTCCCTTCCGTATCCCGGAGTTCCGTTGGTCCTACATACACCAGCGACTGCTCTCTGATGTCCTGTTCTCCTTGGAGACTGACATACAAGTGAGTATTGTATCCGTCTGACACATCACGCTTAATCATACTCGGACACCCACAAGATATCCACTGCTGATAATCATCTCCTAGTGACTTCCCAGAATGGTTTGAACAAGACTACTTAGAAGCAAGCCAGCAGCTTTCATCGTTACCAAAATTGAAACTCAGTGAAAGTCGTCGAAGTAAAAAAGATCTGTTCTATGTTCTGTAATGGTTCTGCGTCTAATTTTAAGATAGTAGGGAGTTGAATGAGATTTTTCTTCCATTCATATCTGACGTCATTTGATTTACAAACTATCGAACTTTATTTTCCTATAACTATTTTTAATCTTCTTCTTATTTACATGACTTGTGCATAAACAATGGATAATAATATTACAGGTGTGGCGAAGTCACTCGACAAAGTCAGTGATAGACTTCGTGAACAGCAGCGAGAACGCGATCTTCGTGGTGAACACGGTGCATCTCATCAGCCAATTGGCCGACAACCTCATCATCGCATGCGGGGGACTGTTACCGCTACTGGCCTCCGCCACCTCGCCCAATGTCAGTATACTATATTATTTAAATATTAATTGTCAGGTAACCGCAATAATATTGAGTCTATTTCTGAAGTGTTAACATGATGCTGGAAAAATACTGGCTCGTCGAGATACTACAAACTATCTTCTCGTTAATAGATTTCTTATTTTAATACAAAAATTTTAAATTAATTCTATTAAATAATTTTGACAGTCTAGTTCAAGCTGTCCAAACTACATGCCTTCGCGGACTAATTCAATTTATTACAAAAAGCTGGAAGGTCATAAAAACATCTTCAGTTATATAATGACGATTAACATTCTTTACTCACAGACAAAAGTTGCATACAAATCATAGACTGAATTTTATTACTGTTGTTGCACATAAAATGTTCAAGTCACTTCGTAGACATAATACAGTTAGTAAAGTATTATTTTCAAAACTGCTGCTAAGAAGTTCCGATACGAACTAAGTGGAAGCATAACTAATACGGTCAACAACAAAACGTCACTCGACAAAATAAAATACTTTTCGGGAATTCCCCCAATAATAGTAAAAGTAGCTTCACTTTTGATCACTTCACTAAATGATCATGCGACTGGAATGTTGCACGACTAAATTAATAAATTATACCAAATATTGAGTATATGTTTTGACAAAGAATAATATTATTGTAATTCTAAACTATTTGTGTCCGAAACTATTTTGAAATTAAAATGTGCGTCGAAGGTCGCATGGAAACAACATCAAAGGTCTTTGTTTGAACAAACCTGATCTAGTGTATCCTGATAAGCTGGCATTTGAATATCTATGTACCAATAAATAAATTCGAAAGAAAGTACTGGGAAAGCTTAGTTTTAAGGAGTCACGTAATACGGCATGTCAACTAAGTGATAATGATTCCAGAACGAGTTGGACGTGATAGAGCCGACACAAGGCATGCCAGTAGAGGTGGCGGTGACGTTCCTGCAGCGACTGGTCAGCATGGCGGACGTGCTCATCTTCGCCAGCGCACTCAACTTCGCAGAGCTCGAGGCTGAGAAGAACATGTCCAGCGGGGGCATCCTGCGACAGTGTCTGCGACTGGTCAGTCATCACACGCACCGTCCGATAGAAAGTCAGCCGTGCTGTTTTCCATTTACATCAAAATTACGAGATGAATATTAAATGTTATTAAAATATTAAAGAAAACAGCACGACATACTTTTGACATGATTTGTATATTATTCTACTGTTATTAACTATAATTTCTTGCTCCAAATACTTCATGAAATTATTATGATATTCAGTTCAATTTTAGTTTGTATTCCAAACTAAGTATTATAGGTTAGTTCTTGTGAAAGATATAGCAATGTTTGTTTAATGTTTCTCCATCTTCATAATACATAGACTGAATAGAAATTATGACTTCTCAAACCATACTTATAGTATTTTTGTAATAGGCTGATTGAATACTCTATCTTAGTAATGTAAACGTAGACTTATCTATCTATATTTCTTCTAATTTAGTTAGTACAATTTTCCTCGCCCGTACTCTTAAATTTTATGAAGCACTAGTGAAACTAAACACTTTTATATTCCACGTACAAGAAAATTATAAGCATACATTAAATGAAAGTAATAAGACTTCATAAAAGAGAAGAGTGCGGGCAGTGTCGTGTACGGCTACTACTTGTGCGTGTAGCGAGTCGTAGCGACGTAGCGACGTAGTGTAGGCGTAGCATCGTGTGTGTCGTAGGTGTGCACGTGCGCCGTGCGCAACTGCCTCGAGTGCAAGGAGCGCGCGCGCTACGCCGCCGCGCGCAGCCAGGCCCGCGCGCCCGACTCGCCCGAGCCCAAGGTAATACACACACACCTCCGAGCGCCTCGGGGCCCCTGGTACTTGACACCATTTCGAAACGTCGCGGTCCTTCATTTCAACCATATTTTCAAAAAGTCCAAAAGCAAAAAATTTTAAAATGGATATAAGGATTCTAATAATTCATGTGGATAATGTTTCCATATTTTTTCTTTACACATTTCAAAACCACAATAACAGCAACAGTTTCTTTATACAAAAATTCTTCCATACAATACTTCAATCCAGTCACTCTCCAAATATTTTATGATCTCCTAGTATACTAATCTTTGTTAATTATCCACCCAATCATCAGAGCATCCTTTTTTACCACATAAAATCTTATTCATTCATTCCAAGAAAGAAACCATTCAATATTTCGTCATAGTCCCTATCCAATCGCCAGTGAGCAAGCTACAAAATTCAACATGTAGAAACAACAACCAATAACCAGCCTTCTAAAATGTTTACAAAGGACC